CCTTGTTGCTGCCAACTTAGATGGGCAGAAGGGTTACACTTGCATCTGAAGCAGTGAGGTTCTTACCCACGAAAGCTTATGCTCCCAATACTTCTGTTAGTCTTAAAGGTGCCACAGGACCCTCTGTTGCTTTTTACAGATTCAGATTAACATGGCTACCCCTCTGATGCTTTGCTCTAGTATCCCTACATTTTCATAAGGAGCAAAGCTAGTTTGGGGCAGTTATCAGACCATTTTTTGTATATTATTACATAGAAAGTGAAACAACCCATCTCTATTTCATGTATATAACTAGCCTAGAGCAAACAAGCACCATAATGTTTTTGCTTCTCAGCTCTCTATGAGCTGATAGGTGAAAACATTATCTACTAAAACAACAAGGAGTCTGGTGGCACCTTAAAGACTAACAGATATATTTGGGCATAAGCTTTCGTGAGTAAAAACCTCACTTCTTCGGATGCAACATTATCTACTGTCTCTTATGCAAAATAGGGAATGGTTTATCAATCAATCCTGCTTCAGTTTCCCAGGGGAAGGTATATGAATGGTGGGCCACAGTCTGAGACCCGAAGGAGTTTACAAAGTAGTGAGGGATTCAACAGCTAAACTATAGAAAGAGCCAGATGAGTGCCACATAAACTTAGGTATGGGTATAGAGTTATACAGCTGCACACACGTTTCCACAAGAGAAACGAGAGTTAGGCTTGAGATTTAGAACAGTCCCAAGGACGCCCTGCCACCTTGGAGGATCCTCCTGCAGGTTCCTTCATTTATTTAATCACTAAGCAGCTTGTTTAGGCCACAGTGGAAACTGTGCAACCAACTTACTTCCCTACAACCCCTTAGGGAAGGAGCTGAGAGGGAGCCGTTGCAATGTGCCTGCCTGCTGTGAGTGTCCTGCCCCTCTTTCTCCAGCCACTGGCAGGCCCAGAGCTGATGAACCATACCCGTCGGTGCTTGGCTTCGGCAGCCAAAAGCTTCCCCCGTCTCCATGCTGTCATTAGCATAAGCACCCCCGCTTGGGCGATCTGCCGGTGCATCACCTTCTCCCCTTTTCCCGCACCTTTACCGTAAACACACAACTGCAAAGCACATCAGCAGCTCAGCTGCGGGATTTACGGTCGCAAAATGCAAACAGCCGGGAATGGAACACAAAACACCAGACAAAATCTTGGCGCCTCGGTAACGGCGTGAACGCAAAGAGCAGGCCTGGTGCTTGCCATCGTCGCCTCCTCCCCGCTCCGCACCCGGCATCGCTTCGGGTGCACCCACTCGAGGCACCCCAGAGGCGGCTGCCGCTTGCGGTTGCTGCATCCGCCGCCGCCTCCCGGCCGTGCCTGTGCACGGTGCCCCTGCGCGCGCGCTGCCTGCTGCTTGCAGCTGAGCCCGGGATTGGCTCGCGCCCCCCATTCAGGGGCTCGTGCAACCTGGTGTCTGCCGGGCTGGATTCAGAGAGCAGCTGGCACTGAGCTGCTTGGGTAGCTCGCAGGCAGCAGTCGCGGCTCCGTCCGTCGCTGAGGCTCAGCTCTCAGGAGGCAGGCGCTGTGGGGAGGAGGCTCGCAGGGCGCGTTGGGATATTGCATCGGCTCTCCCTAGAGGTGTCCTAGCTCCCCCGCCCCTCAGTGAAGGAATCCGCGCTGATGCTGAACACTGGGTTAAGTTATCACCCAGAGATGGTGTGAGGGACTCAGGCTGCTCAACCTGCTGCTGCTGCTGGTAAATGCTCTTCACTTCTTATTTGGCTACAGGCTTTTTCTCTTGCTTTTCATTCTGCAACAGCGCCTAAATCTGCAGCACCCTCTCTCCCCTTCTCCTTCTCTTTCCTTTTCTTATGTCTCTTCTTTAATTGTATTAGCGCAGTTGACAACTTCTTGTATGTCTCTCTCATAACCAGACTGCGAGCGGTTTGTCTCCTGGAACCTTTTAATTCAGCACTTGGAGAGGTCATTAGTTGCACGAGTTCCAGTGAGAAGGGGGAGATTGTCGCTTATTTCCCTGCTGCTTTTCTGCCCATTAATTTTCATCCTCGGTTGCTGAGATATTTTTCCCAAGTGTTTTAATGTTGTCTTTGTGGTTTTAGGTTTGTTTTTCTCCAACCCCCCCACCCCCATCCAAATGTAATTTTGTTTCCGTTTTTACTAACAGAGCAGAAAGGTATCGCTGATTCAGAAACTATCATGGGCACAGGGCATGTTGGTTAGAAATCGGGAAAGGAGACATTTGTATTCCAAAAGGGAATTTTTTAAAAAAAGAAGCTGTTTTGCATCATTGCTGCAGATTTGCAGGAGGTAATAAAGGACACCACTACTCATGTTGCTTGTAAAGATGATAAACACAGAAGTGCTTTAGTGCATCACATACTGTCCAATGATTGAGCTGTGCTAAATTGTATTTAATAATAAATTCAGGGCTGTGGAGGACGAGAGATTGGTGGCATTGTATTGCTCACACTGCTGAGACAATGTACATTTATTTGCTAACACCACACCAAGACCCTGTTAGACCTTACATGGAGTGGCAGTTTGACAAGATGTTTTTGTTTGTTTCTGTTTCTTTTATACACACAAACTAAAATTTAAATTAGCCAGCCTAATGAATGCAAATAGAACTCTTTAATTCTTCCTTTACTTCAAAATAATACTTCTTGTTAAACTCTTGCTGGCAGGATTTTTTTTTAAATATTAGAAGACATTCATACATAACATATGTTTTAGATACATTTATACTACTTAAAGAACAATAAGATTTAAATTAGTTTTAGTATTTCATTCCTATTTTCTTTCCTCTCACTCTCTACAGGTCAAGGAGGGGTGGGGAGAGGAAGGGATATAAATAAATAAAAAACATGGAGGGTCAATATAAAATTGGCAAGTCAGCTGTATCACAAGAAAACTTCCATTTATAATTGTAACATTATTGCAAAGCCACTATTACACGCAGAACATAGCTAATACAATGCTGCCTAAGTGTACATTATCAGATTTTAGAGATACTGTATTAAAGTGGGCTACATTTACAGTACTTAGGTATTGTCTTTTTAAGGTGTTCAAACTACATAACTAAAATAAACATCAGATATTTATTCCACATATGTAATATTGGAGTGAAAGTCTAGAAGTAAAATCATTGCAGTACTTCTTCAGCTTTGTTCCTGCAGCCTAGGATACAAGTTCGTAGAGAGGATGTGTAGTAGTAGACCACTTCATATAATGCTGGATAAAACTTTTTTTTTTAAACTTCATAGATTTGAAAGGTGTAATCTAAATGTGGAAGTTATTGAATTATCAGCAAAATAGAAATTAAATCACAGTTGACCCTGTTCTTTTAAAAAAAACATAGTTACAAATCACTATGCAAATTTACCAGTTAATTTTGGTTATGCAATCTTAAATCTTTTCTTTAAATTATAGACAGAATTTAGAGAGATAAAATACACTAATCTCTTCTTTAGTTTGCATGATATTAATAAGATGGTTCATTGCATTTCATCTCAACTCTTATATTGAAAGAATACAAAAGTCATTACAAGACTCATAAGACTGACATATTGCTGGTTTTAAATATTTCCATGAACTCCTTAAATTTACTAATTTAATAAAATAAAGAGATAAATCCTTCCATTCATAAAGATCAGAGATGTTTTCTAGGGAAGCTTTTCCTTGTCTAGGTGGCAAGGAAAGGAGTTCTCCTAGAAGACGCTGATATGCTAAAGAACCTTTGATTCTGGTACTGCTTTGATACAGTTTCCATCATAAAATAATAACAATCATTTAAAAAACCCAACACACAAACAATATGCTTCATGCTGTGAATCTGCAGCATTTAAATAATTAAATTAATTCCTTGTGTATGGGCACAAGTGCAAATGACTGACCAAGTCAAGGACGAATCTAGCTTGGCCCATGTGATGAGACTTCCTGAGTAATAAAATCAGAATATAAATATATTTATATTACACTGAGTTGGACTCAGTTTTGGAATCTAAAATTCAATTGTGAAGTCTAAGCTTTAATTGATTTAGAGAGATAATCTTTTATTGCTGAGGTTTCTTAGTTTTCTGGCAACTTCGAAAAGCTCAGAGTATTATTTTGTTAAAATATTAAACACGCATGTTGAGCATAAAAAAAGGTTTGGTCCAGGTAACTTACCTGGGTTTGTATTCTGTTTATTTTTAAATGACTTATATTGATTCAATGATTAGTTATAAAGTAACTCTAGCCTCTTTTTAACTCTACATGCTTATTTCTGACTTGGGTAATGAAAATTAGTATGACTGTCTTTTTCTTTCATTTACAATCACACTATGCAGTATGGTGCAAACTGTAATGTAAACATCACATGGAGGATGTTCTCTCCTAATCAGCTTGACCTATATTTTGTATTTCAGTATCTCCCACTAAAAGTCAAAGAGTTACATGGGGAAACAGAGAAGAGGTACTAGCAGTTGTTAGGCCACAGAGAAAAGCTGATATTCCAGGAGTATTGATTTGAGGGGGCTGACAGTCACATTTGTCTGGCTTGTTAGGATTCACAGTTTTATTTGGAACAGAGTGGAGATATCTATGGATATTTGATCTATTATGGTAATGGATATGGGATTCTTTTGTCAAACACAGTCATTTTTGCTTCTGCTATCCAAGTAAATTTCTTATGCACAGTACAAATATGTTGTATTGCCAAATTGTGCGTGCTACAGAAGTATTTTTATGCTTATTATTATTCAGAATAATAATAATAAAAAATAAAGTGTTGATTAAGTTCATTCAAGGTCAAATATCTAGACATCTTGATCTGAAAGGTCAAATTAAACTGAAGGTCAGATTAAATGGAGACAAAACTGAAGCGGCTGTTAGACCACTCAAGTCAATTAACTGATCTTGGAAAACCAATACCCATATTTACATGTTAGCGTGAAGTGGCTTATTAAGAGTCTAACCCTGCGACCCTTACTCCTGTGAACAAAATTTACTCATTGCAGTACTATTAGTGAAGAGCATATTTAAACATGTGAGTAAGGGTTGCAAGATTGACCCCTTAAACTGTAATTTCTACTGCATGCAGTTAGTTTTTGAAAATCTTTCCAGGGGACAAGAAAGGACACGTTCTGCTCTGAGTGTCCATAAGAAAAGAACATGATCTCAAAGTATAACTGAAGTTCATATCTGTTTTAAATGTTTGATGTGGGATATTTCAGTTCTGACTTGCTGTAGCAAAAAAAAAAAATTCATGAAAATGGTGAGTGTTTTACAGATTTTTAGTTGGACTATATCCCACTTATAATTTCAAAAGGTCTTAACTGTTTAGAAGCACAATTTCAATTTTATATAATGTCTGTGCCAGTACTACAGGAAATAAACCATTCTCATTTAGAATAGATATACACAGAAGTGGTCCATTCTTTTTTGACCTTTTGTTCACATCACTGAAGTTTTTATACCAATTATTATTGACTCATCATCACTCTTATTTCTGAGTGTGCAAAACAAATCAAGCTCAGTAGACTTGGACTTATTATATATAGGAGACAAGGTACAAAATGACTTTGACTCTATCAAATTGTTTCAACTATGTAAAATACTATCTTTGTGCACCAGTGGCCTCTGTAGTCTTAAAGAGTTCTGTGTTTTGATCCTTATTCAAAATTATAGCTTTTATTTAGCTGGAATGCCAAAGCAACATGCTCTAAAATAAAATGGTTTCTGCAATAGTTTCTCACTTAATCCACATGAGGCATTGCATGATATATTAGGCCCTCTTCTATTAGATATTTTTTGTCTCACATTATTGGTCTGTATTGAACCCATAATGCTGTTGAGGTTCAAATAGGTTCTCATAAATTCACCTGGCTGACTGAGTCAGTACTACCAAATAGACTTTTTGGATAAACAGCCTGTACTCTAAGATCATGATTGTGAAATATAAATACAATATCCTTTATATCAGTGGTTCTCAACCAAGGGTACGTGTACCTCTCGGAGTACTCAGAGATCTTCTGGGGGTACATCAACTCATCTAGATAGTTTCCTAGTTTTACAACAGGCTACATAAAAAGCACTAGCGAAGCCAGTACAAACTAAAATGTCATAGACAATGGTTTGTTTATACTGCTGAAATGTAAGGACAATATTTATATCCCAATTGGTTTATTTTATATTTATATGGTAAAAATGAGAAGGTAAGCAATTTTTCAGTAATAGTGTGCTGTGACACTTTTGTATTTTTATGTCTGATTTTGTAAGTTTTTAAGTGAGGTGAAACCTGGGCGTACATAAGACAAATCAGACTCTTGAAGGGGTACAGTAGTCTGGAAAGGTTGAGAGCCACTGCTTTATATAGATTATCATAGAATTGATTGACAGTCCATGACACACACTAATGAATTATTTCATTTCATGTTTATTGAAGGGCATTAATAATCCAGTAGTTATCCCAAACAGTGATATAATTATGAGATTATTTTTTTTAGCAGCAAGCAGCACAGTATACAATTATGAATTTATCTTTAGGTGGGAAAGTTGGGAGTGGGCACATAGCAATTATTACATAGTTACATACTGTCTAACCACAACAGTTTTGCACAGCAACATTTTTAGGGAATAGATGTTCACTTGAAAATTAAAGAAATGTCAACATTTACCTATAGCCCTTTAATTAACCCTGGGCCAGATTTAGTGCAGAATGTATCGCACTGTCTGAGCCTTACGTGAAGAAGAAAA